TGAGGAGTTAGGTTTTAAGAGACGGCCGGTAATCTTATTCTAATGAATTAGATTTTGACATGTAGATTTAACATACATCAGAACACGCCCTCTCAGAGACAGAAAGCTCTGGGTTGTCATGTGACAAAGACATGTGAGTGCAGTTAACCTTAACCTGATTTACTGTGTCCTGCATGGTGTGTATAAGTGCAGATGATCTTCTTGTCACTGTTAAACATTACTGATTATCATAAACAGGGGTGGATTTAGGACTGAAGAAGATCCGGGGCTTAACACACACATGCATGCGCACACACATACACGCGCACACACACACGTGACACGCACTAGTCAACATCATATATATTTGTCTTGTACCACATAATTTTTAATCTGAAGTTACGTATTAAGCATTTTCAGGGCAGAGTATTGTTCCTGTTAGTGTTTAGTGTGAGATGATAGTAAATATTCCCTTTCTTTCTCCAACAACTTTACCTGATAGTAAGCTAACTTTAGGCAAACCAGCAGCACAACAAATATTTTCAAATAAGACTCACAAACCTGAGTCAACACCAGTCTCATCAAAGCTGGGGTTCTGTCGTTGTACTTTTTGTCTAAAAAACGTTCTTATGTCCATCTTCACTCATGCATTTCAGGCAGAGAGTGCAGAAGAAGCCGGCTGCTGAAGGGCTTCTTCGGTGGTGGAGGCTCAGGCAGGCTGTATACAAACTACTGCCAGCTGCGCCCCCTCTGTTGGACTTTGGTACTGCATGTTACTTCCACGTTTGAGATCCGGGGCTTTTCATAAATGATTCGGGGCTTCAGCCCAAGTAGCCGGGCCTAACGCCGCCCCTGATCATAAATAATAATTATTATTAACCAAAGAATAATAATTAATTTCAGTAATTAAATACATTTATAATGAACCTTGGTGATTATTTATGAACGTTGTAATAGACACTGAAAAGAGTTTATTAAAAATGATTATTTTAAATCTAGAAGTGTCCTTCGTCTTGCAGATGGAACAGCAGTCAGATAAAGGCAGTCAGATTAAAGGGGTGGTAGACCGACATTCAGTCTCCTGTGATGGATAATCTGTAGATAGAAGTGCAGCCAGGACAGCTTGACCCAGCTGAGGAAGTATGACCTTTGGGTCACAAATGAGGCCATTCATGTCGCTACACCTGAAAAGGAAAAAGAATCCTAGAATCTTCTGATTAATCATCCAAAGGCCAAGCACGTTGATATTCTACATTTATATAGCGTCTCACAGCTTATTGGTCATAAGTACAGGTAATATATTAAGCTTAAAAGTAGGGCTGCACGATATTAGGAAAACCTGCGATATTCGATAACAGTGCTTAATATTGCGATATCAATATTACTCACGATAAACGAACAAATACTAAAGTATGCAGTGTTGATGTCGTCTGGCGTGTGACGCCTGCTCTGGGTTCAAAGCAAACAAAAACTAATGCATGAATTCCATTACAACATAACATTTTTATTGCAAAAATATGCAGCTGCACCTGCTACTGTATTAGCAGCTGCACCTGCTACTGCATTAGCAGCTGCACCAGCTACTGTATTAGCAGCTGCACCTGCTACTGTATTAGCAGCTGCACCTGCTACTGCATTAGCAGCTGCACCAGCTACTGTATTAGCAGCTGCACCTGCTACTGTATTAGCAGCTGCACCCGCTACTGCATTAGCAGCTGTACCTGCTACTGTATTAGCAGCTGTACCTGCTACTGCATTAGCAGCTACACCTGCTACTGCATTAGCAGCTGTACCTGCTACTGTATTAGCAGCTGTACCTGCTACTGCATTAGCAGCTGCACCCGCTACTGCATTAGCAGCTGCACCAGCTACTGTATTAGCAGCTGCACCTGCTACTGTATTAGCAGCTGCACCCGCTACTGCATTAGCAGCTGTACCTGCTACTGTATTAGCAGCTGTACCTGCTACTGTATTAGCAGCTGCACCCGCTACTGTATTAGCAGCAAAACAACAAACTGCATGCATGCAGTTTCTCAGTTACTTTAAAACATCACCTCCACCATAAAACTTTTTCTGATGCTCCAAATACAGAAAAACATCCCTTACCAGGGTTTTTGGAATAAATAAAAAAAAATCAGAAAATAAGTTTAAATGTTAAATAATAGTTAACATCACTTAAATGCAACAGCAAGTTCTCTCATTGCTACTGAACATTTTCTCCACTTATGTGGTTATGATATAAGGCTGTTGCTGCTATTGGGAAGTGAACTGTGCTGGGCCAAACTAGGAGAATATTAAGATTTTTTGAGGGAAAGAGAAAAACAATTGTCTACCTTTCAGAAGAGGAACTGGCAAAAAACTACAAAATATGTGAAAACGTTTGTTTTTAACCCCAAATTTACCAAGTTTACCTAGATCTTAAAAAGCAGCTCAGATGATGAAATTGCAACTATGATACGAGGCTGAAGTTAGCTTCCGATTCGGGAAATGGCTAAAGGGCCATTACACCCAATTTTTCTCTACTCTGACCATCTTTAATTTCACTTTATTTCAAACATATACATTCACCAACATTTCATAAAATCATTCCATGCAGTTGTTTGAAAAGGAGTAGGGAGAAGTATATACTTATTTAGCCCTATCTGCTCTAGCTGGAAAAACTACAACAGCCCCTACACTGTTCAAACCTGTTCTAGATTATTCTACAATAATAGCAGATCAAATAAAACACGATGTGGGATTTGTGAAACCTTTCCCTGATTTGTGAAACTTCAACAAAGCCTTAAAAAATCGGTCTGCGCATGACCCATAGTAGCACATGTCAACGAGCACGGATAGTCCGACTATCTTGAAAATACGCCTCCAAAACAATTCCTCCTTTCCTCCATTGTTCTAACGACGTAGTCTTTTTCTCCCGGGCCGGCTCTCAGACAGGAACTCTGTCATATTACCGTAATGTATCGTACTCGTCTGAAAAGAGCGGAGTGTCACCTTTCTGAAACCAGGGCTGAGGCAGCGGAGAAGAATGAGCATGGTGAGATGGATGAGAGGTAAGACGATCTGAGTCACAGAAAGATATCTGCAGGAAAAAGATTTTTTGTATGTCTTTAAGAATGGAGAAATATATAATGCCTGAAAAATTCTTTTTTTGGCAGCAAAAAAGTGGAACTTCTCATGAAACTGAAAACCGAAATGGAGAGACGTTCAATTATCTGAAGTTCTCTGGAATGTGGAGAGTAAAAAAGTTTGAGGCTGAACATTTATGCTTGTTTTTAATGAAGACACGCAAACATCAAAGTCATTTTTGCATAGTTGTGGCTGTTGTGTAACTGTGCTACATGTCACCGAAAAAATACAATCTGTGTTGAAGTTTCACAAATCAGGGAAAGGTTTCACAAATCCCACATCGTGTTTTATTTGATCTGCTGTTATAGTAGAATAATCTAGGACAGGTCTGAACAGTGTGGCTGTTGTAGTTTTTGAGCTACAGCTGTTCCATCGTTGGCCAGATGCTGAGAAAACGCATAAATCAGGCTTTGTTGAAGTTTCACAAATCAGGGAAAGGTTTCACAAATCCCAAACAAGGTTGTATGCAATCTGCTATTATAGTAGAATAATCTAGAACAGGTGTGAACCGTGTGGCTGTTGTAGTAGTACTGTATGTAGAAGTGACCCAGCATCCTGTGATGGGACTAATAACATCAAGATAATAAATAAAGTAATATTTAGGTAACTGTAACCCTTTACACGTGACCAGGACACTGTAATCAATGTTTGGCAAGGGAAATGATCTTTTTTTTTGCCATTTTTGGGGTGTTTATGATGATACAGTAGACAGTATGAGTACTATAACATCAACAGATAATACATAAAACCCTTATTTGGTCAATTTTAGCCTCCATGAAAATCTGAGCGATTCAATCACTTTTTGGCAAGTAAAATGCCATTTTAGTTGTCTACAATTAAATCAATAATAAAGAATTTAAAGATATTTTGAGTATTTCTTAAACAGGAGGGTGTAGTCACTATTTGGCAAGGGACAATCTTAATTTGATGTGCTGAAGTGTTTTTATCTTGTTACTTTTAAACAGAGCAACGTAATGTACAGATAGTAACCTACACAGTGTCAGTAAAGCCAAAGCTCGATCAGTTTAAATACTACTTTTCAAGTAAAAATGTGCCCCAAACTAGTTAACTGTGGCTCCATGTCAAGTGGACTAAAGAAAGGAAGGGGAAACATCAAATCGCTGGAGAATTGTTTATTTACATTTATACAACGTTTACATTCAATACAGGGCGCCATTTTACATTGTTTATTTATTTTTTAGTATCAAGGCTGTAGCATAAAGAAAGCCAGTTCTTACCACAAATCGTCTTTCAGTCGCAGATATCGCAAAAAGGATTAATATATCCTCATTGTGAATGTTTAAGACAAATAGCAACACTTAAAACAACTTCCGAACTGGAACAACTAATATCTGCGATAAACATCTGTTTAAGTACCGGAAAAGGTTATCTCTGCTTTCTCAATGCCCATATTGCTAGATATGCCAAGTAGATATGTCTAGAAATGCAATTACCTAACCGTGTGCAGTCCCGCGGTGACTAATCATTTCTTGGCAGCCAGTCGATTTATGGCACAACACCGGCGCCGCTGACTCAGTTCGGGTGTTGCTTTTCATCCTAAGGGTCTACGTAGGGGGCGGGCATATTACGTAAACGGACCCATCTGATTGGCTGCATATGGAAAAGTTTCGTCTGTGTGCATCACACGAGCAGGATGTGGGGACGATGAGTGTTTTCTAGTCTGATTGCGCAAGGAAGGAACACTCTGCACTGGAAATGATCTGAGTCATGTCCCAGAGAGCAAATAAGTCATCCAGCATTCGGACGGTTCTACTTGCCGTTGATGATTGATACGCAGGTCAATCGTTCACAAGAGGCTTCATCAATCTGAGCTGCTCAGTTGTTTTTCTTTCTGGTGCTCAGGTATGTTTACCTGCCCCTGTGTGTGCTTTCAGGCTTCCAGCTGTGAAGAACGAGAGAAGGAGGAGGACAGACGCAGCCTGCAGGAGGTGAAGAGGAGAGGTAGGATGGAGAGGAGCAGAGAGCAGCAGGAGGAGGAGCTGAGCGGCAAGCTGAAGACGCTGGTGAGACTTTGACCTTTCTCTTTGTGTTCCTGATGAAGATAATCTGCTATGTTTGTATAACCTCAAGTTTATCACCATTCTCCTAACATCTGCTGCAGAGTGTTAACGAGCAGGGAGGACCTCTTAAAGAGCAAGTCGCCCCAAATCTACCTTTCATTTGTCTGCTGATAAACTATATAAATGAGCGTCTAATCGTGCTGTAGACACGAGCTCACAATAATTTGGCACTTTAGTGCATCTTAGTTAAAATTTACATATTCTGTCTACAGGTGCTGGCCAGTAAATTAGAATATCATCAAAAGGTTGAAAATATTTCAGTAATTCCATTCAAAACGTGAAACTTGTACATTATATTCATGCAATGCACACAGACCAATGTATTTCCAATGTTCATTACATTTAAATTTGATATTCATAAGTGACAACTAATGAAAACTCCAAATTTGGTATCTCAAAAAATTAGAATATTCTGAAAAGGCTGAATATAGAAGACACCTGCTGCCACTCTAATCAGCTGATTTACTCAAAACACCTGCAAAGGCCTTTAAAAGGTCCCTCAGTCTTGTTTTGAAGGCACCACAATCATGGGGAAGACTTCTGACTTAACAGCTGTCCAAAAGACAATCATTGACACCTTGCACAAGGAGGGCAAGACACAAAAGGTGATTGCTAAAGAAGCTGGCTGTTCGCAGAGCTCTGTGTCCAAGCACATTAACAGACAGGCGAAGGGACGGAAAAAATGTGGTAGAAAAAAGTGTACAAGCTCTAGGGATAACCGCACCCTGCAGAGAATTGTGACGACAAACCCATTCAAAAATGTGGGGGAGATCCACAAAGAGTGGACTGCAGCTGGAGTCAGCGCTTCAAGAACCACCACGAGGAGACTCATGAAAGACATGGGATTCAGGTGTCGCATTCCATGTGTCAAGCCACTCCTGAACAAGAAACAGCGCAAGAAGCGTCTCGCCTGGGCCAAGGACAAAAAGGACTGGACTGATGCTGAGTGGTCCAAAGTTATGTTTTCTGATGAAAGCAAGTTCTGCATTTCCTTTGGAAATCAAGGACCCAGAGTCTGGAGGAAGAGCGGAGAAGCACAGAATCCACGTTGCATGAGGTCCAGTGTAAAGTTTCCACCGTCAGTGATGGTGTGGGGTGCCATGTCATCTGCCGGTGTTGGCCCACTCTGTTTCCTGAGGTCCAGGGTCAATGCAGCCGTCTACCAGGAAGTTTTAGAGCACTTCATGCTTCCTGCTGCTGACCAACTTTATGGGGATGCAGACTTCACCTTTCAACAGGACTTGGCACCTGCACACAGTGCCAAAACCACCAGCACCTGGTTCAAGGACCATGGTATCCCTGTCCTTGATTGGCCAGCAAACTCGCCTGACCTTAACCCCATAGAAAATCTATGGGGTATTGTGAAGCGGAGGATGCAATACGCTAGACCCAACAATGCAGAGGAGCTGAAGACGACTATCAGAGCAACCTGGGCTCTCATAACACCTGAGCAGTGCCACAGACTGATCGAGTCCATGCCACGCCGCATTACTGCAGTTATTGAGGCAAAAGGAGCCCCGACTAAGTATTGAGTGCTATACATGCACATTCTTTTCATGTTCATTCTTTTCAGTTGGCCAACATTAGAGAAACAAACATTTTTTCATTGGCCTTTAGAATATTCTAATTTTCTGAGATACCAGATTTGATGTTTTCATTGGTTGTCACCTATAAATATCAAAATTAAACGTAATAAACATCGGAAATACATTGGTCTGTGTGCATTGCATGAATATAATGTACAAGTTTCACGTTTTGAATGGAATTACTGAAATATTTTCAACCTTTTGATGATATTCTAATTTACTGGCCAGCACCTGTAAAGCTGTCAGTGCAGCGCCGTCGTCAGGTAAAACCTCTGCACTGCACTCGAGTCCAAATCTGTCACCGCTTTCGGCTAAGAGATACCCTGGTACCATATGATGTCACAGTGTCGTTGTGAGTCTGTGTGTGTGTGTGTGTGTGTGAGACCTCTTCACCTGTCCGGTTTGGTTCTGGCTGGTTACTTCCTGGCTGTTCTGCTCTGTCTGTATTTTGGTTTAAACCCCAGCGAGCCTCAGCTGGAGGTCCGAGGCCGGGTCTTTTTTCGCGTGTCTGAACCAGAGTGTCGAGTCCTAGCCTGTGTTTGTGTTCAGGATCTGTCCAGCAGGTCTGCTGCCAGTGGAACCGGTCTGGTTTACTCCGAGATCTTCACGCACCATCAGAACCTGTGGGATCCTTGGTAACAAACAGCAGACTCTTCTGTTGATGGACCACCATCAGTTTGATGTTCAGCGAGGATCAGTAGAACTTTTGGGTTTAGGCGGAAAACGTT